TTTACAAATTTACAATGTTTCATTAATTCACGTCAAATAATAAATTTTCAACGAAGAAAAATGAAGCGAAAAACTGATATGATAAAATCTTTCCCATCTTCAAATATTTTGCTATCAGAAAAAAAAGAATTTTTTTTTCAAATCAAAATTTTCTTCATTTTCTACAACATTGATGAAAATCTAACATTTCGAAATATCCGAAAATATTTTTAGAAATTGCAAGAAATTATTCTTTGCACTTTATTTTCATAGAATTTTGTGATAATTTCAAAAGAAAAATTTCTTTTGTATTTATATTTATATTTTAGTAAATAATATTTATATTTTAGTAAATGTTTCGAAATGCTTACTTTCAATACGAAAAATTTCTTTTGTATTTATATTTATATTTTAGTAAATAATATTTATATTTTAGTAAATGTAATTATGTTTTAGTATTTATATTTTATTTTTTATATTTTAGTAAATAATTGAAATTTTATTTTTTAAGCAAAAATTGCATTCGACAAAAATTAAATAACATACAGTATGATCTTTTTTTTTTCTCTTTCTTTCTCTCTCTCTCTCTCTTTTTAGCATATTTTTTAACCCTTTTAAATTTCGATTAATAAAATTATGCAAAAAAGATGAAACGAAAGAAATGAAATTTTAATCAATGAAAAATTTTCATCAATAAGTTTACTGTATTTCTAAAATATAAATATAGTACTCTCTCAAATTTTAAGTACTCTCTCTCTCTCTCTCTCTCTCTCTCTCTCAAATATAAGTGCTCGATATGTTATGCACCATTTTTAGGAAATAATTTTGAAATTCATTTTTTTTTTTGAAGAAAAAGAAATAGGTGGTATATAAGACAGGTATGAAATTGATTGTAAACATAAAGTTCGCTTTTTTCCCACTTCTCCCTTTTCCATCTCATTGCTTTTCCCGTTCATTCCTGGTTTTCCTCCCCGTCTCATTGCTTTTCCCGTTCATTCCTCCCCGTCTCATTGCTTTTCCCGTTCATTCCTCCCCGTCTCATTGCTTTTCCCGTTCATTCCTGGTTTTTTTTTCCCCCCCCCCGCTTTCTTTTCTATTTTTCCTGTTTCTTCACATCTATCGTATATTCCTCGCTAATTTGAAATATTCAAAATTGAGGAAGTGAGAAAAGACGAGGAAAAATAACAACAAATAACTTTGCATGTTATCTGTACAATTTTGTTTATTGGATTATTGAAGTGGTTTGGGAAAATGAGTAAAAGATCGCGGAGAAAATAATTCGATTTTCAAGTGGTAAAGAAAAAAGGGAAGAGATCGTGGAATAAGTGAAAAGATCGAATGTTCAAGTGGCTAAAAAGACCCAGGAATGATTTGTTGTTGAAGTGGTTGAAAAGAGTGGTACGCGGGGGGGGGGAGGTTTCTCTCAATGATTAGTTAATCATTGATTGATGAATATTACAGGAAAAAAACCCCGAAGATAAAATAAAATAAATGAAATGACAGATGTTCCTAAAGTGGTTCATTCCCTCTTCACATTTTTTCCTTCTTTCATTATTTTCTTCTTCCAAAATCTAAGGTAATAATTGTCCCTAAAATCTATGATAATAATTGTTCCTAAAATCTAAGGTAATAATAATTCAATCATTGCAAAAAAGAAAAAATTAAATCAAAAAATTAAAAAGCAGATAATTGGTAATTTCTAAGGTAATTCTAATTCAAATAATTCTCAGGTTATAATTGTCCTAAAATCTAAAATAATAATAATTCACAAAAAAATTAAAAAGCAAGTAATTGGAAAAATTAAAAAGCAAGTAATTTACTGATTCATTTATAGTTGTACTAATATATTTATAGTTGTACTAATATTTACTGATTCATTTACGCAAACATAATACATTATCATATTTATTCTTATATATTATATAAAATATTTCTTATCATTTTCCTTATACATTTTGATTATCTTTTTATAACTTCGCACTTTTATTATATTTAATTTCGTGAAATCTCTTTTTCTTTTTCATTAAAAAATTAATCTTATAAATAAATACATATATAATAATGATGATATTATTATAATTAATATGTATATATTAGTATATTAGTACAACTATAAATAAATATTAATACATTATTATAACTATATATGCTATTATACTTTATACCACTTTTTTTTATTTTCAATTATTTTTTTTAATCATACAAAATTTATCATTACTGATATGATATGCAAATTATTATTATTACTGATATGCAAATTAATCAAAGAAAGAAATAAACAGAGAAAAGAGCAAAAAAACATTTATGAAAAGAAACATTTATGAACCAAACATTTCGAAAGACTGAAATGAAGAAATGTACAGGCAGGCAATTTTATATGATTTTCAATGAGAAAAGAGGTGAGGGTGTACTTGAAGCTTGAAGTTGAACCTGAATTGCCATCTCGAGACTTTTCATAAATGACACTTATGTGGAATACTTTTCACATCCTTTTTGCCTTCGATCATTTTTCACTCTTCCACGAAAAAATTTTGCACGGTGGAAAAGAATTTTGAAGTAGAAGAATTTATAAGCAGCTTCTTCAAATATCTTCTATTTCCAACAAAAAGAAAGAAAGAAAGAAAGAGAGAAAAAAGCGAAACCACAAAATACCGTGTAAGTGTAAAATTTGTCTTTATCATCATCATCATCATCATCATCATCTTTTACAATCTATATCATCATTAGTAATTTTGAAATTTGAATAAAATCTTATTTTAATATATCACTTTTTGATTAACTGCAATTAATAGTGTGTTAATTATTTTGTGTGTTAATTGTGTTAATTATTTTAAATGAATCAATTATTATTTTTGGGAAATTATCAATAATGATAATAATCGAACGATTACAATGGTATAAAAGCGCTTATCAATATTTTATCGTTAAAAAAAAAGCAAGAGCAAAATTTCTAAAATCCCGATAGGATTTCTCAGATTTTTCAGTATATCTATAATCATCTATTACAATACTATTTCGTCATTTTATTCAATCAAATACATCATTGATTATTCAGATTTGTTGATTATTCACATTGCTTATTGATTATTATTGATTATTCAGATTTGTTAAATAATTTCATTCATCGGAAATTTTCGTTTTTTTGGAATAGAAATTAAAACAAAAGAAAGGGCGAATTTTAGGATTGAAATTTAACGATATGAAATTTCTTATGCATTATGCAATAATAATACTTCATATTGGTATGGATAATTTAAATTCAAAAAGCCTTTTCTTCTCCCTCTATCTCTCTCTCTCTCTCTCTCTTTATTTTTTTGCGCTAAATATCACTTTTTTTGAATTTCATTAAATTTTAAATTGATAAAAAATCAATACCGATTGATCATATATGATGAGTGAATTCAACTCTGAATCAAATCATATAATATCAATAATATCCTAACTTGAACTTTTTGATTGAATATAATATTATCTCTCAGTTAATACAGCTCATACGCTCATACTTGCTAGAAAGAAAGGTAAGTTAATCGTGTAAAAAATTGTTGACCTCACAATTGACACATCAATTAAGCCGAAAATCTAACAATCATTCAGGATGGTTGCATTCTTTTCGTTTTTTTGCACTAAGGTCAATATATGCTTCCCTAAGTGAGAATAAATGTAAACAAGATGAAATTTAATAATCTCATATTTCTTAGTTTCAAATTGGAACGATATAAAAGCTCAGATTGGAAGAATGTAAAAGAAGAAAAGCTAATGTTAAATATCATTACAGATTGATAGAGAGAGCAGTAGCAATTTTGGTGAAAAACCGTATCAGATTACTTAAAAAATGTGATTTTGGAAAATGATGTGAAAATCAAGGTGACACTTCACGTTCTACTTGAAGAACTTGAGCTGTTGTTGTCGAGAAGTTTTTGTGTAAACATATGTAGGTATCTATCAACATGACAAGTGTCATCATACTTAACGGATATCTTCTAGTCAAAGAAAGATTGAATAATAAAAAGGGACAATCTACCAGGATTATGATGGATGATGATGATCATCATCATGATTATCATAAATATAAATGATAATATTTTCATTGCTTATTTTTCTGTGCACAATTTTTGTTATGTTAAACAAACAAATTAAGATATTATCATTTCTTATCCAAAAAATAAAATAATGTTGACAACATGAAAATTCAAAAAGGTGAAGAAAAATAGATTAATACGGAAAACACGTAACAGTAAACAATTTTTTTTAAATCAAAAATAACACAAGACCATGAGAAACTTAGAAAGATCTGATAATTTTTGAAGGAAAAAAACATTCCAAACAGATTAAAATAAAACATTACAACATATCATTTTTAAAAAAAAGATTAAAATGGAATGTCTGCTATTGCCAATGTAACGTTGAAGCTAAATAAGAGACAAAAAATACCTCGTCATTGTTAAATTAAGGCAATCAAATGAAGTAAGACATAATCATAGCTCATAATGCATTGTTATCAATTATCAGTTTACTTTTCTGATTTCAGAAAAGAAATTCTGTTGCAATGTTTTAATTTGTCATAGATTTGTCGTTTTGAAGTTAAGGAATCTCGAAATTAGAACCATAAAAAAAACATAAAAAATTGCCGAAAAAATATGCAACAGATACACATATGTTCAGCATAAACTGAAAATAAAAACAACGACACATTTCAGAGAATTGGCTAATTTTCAAATATTACTATTATAGAAATGCTAAATGCATAAACATAAGTTTAACAGTAGCTTAACTGTTTGCAAAGAGTCTAAATATTTATGTACTTTTCCAGCGTTCCATCATAAGCTTCCATTCCATCACTAAGCTCATTAAATAAAAATAAGTAATGTTGTAGTCGTAGGAATATTCTAAATTGAGATTTTATATGTTTAATCACGTCTACTATGACTACTTCCTTCTTATACTGCTGGTAGATATACTAGAGGTGGTATTTGATAAAAAAGCCAATATAAAATTTCATACTGAACTGAATCCCATATTTTCTAAACTGTTTCATTTTCATCCAGTTTCTGAGCCATTTCGTCTTGTACCAATCGAGGATTGACTAAAATAGCATCTGCCACTGCACGATTCGGAATTGACAACTGTCGCTAAAAAATGAATCATTTAGAGAAGACTGCTAACTTAAGAAAGATGGTAGTAGTTTTGTAAACATACAAGAAATATTTACCTCAAATTTTTCACCGTGAAGAGATTTTTATTTTATTTATGTAAGAAAATGCATTCATTTTGGCTGGGTAAAGAGCAAAGAAAATAGATCATAAAATGCAATTCATTAGATCCGGACGAAGAAATTACATGATGCGATTCATTATAAAGCAAATAATCCAAAATAGAATAATATTTTTAAGCATTTACTTGTTGTTTTTTCAATGAAAGGATTAATTCCCGAGAATAAACTGTTCGCTTATTTGGAGGCTTGTAATCACAAACACCTTCGTTAGTGAGAATTTCCGCAATTTCACTCACAGATGATCCTTAATAAATTTAATTCGAGTGAACAACTTCACAATTCATAAGAATCGAAAATTTCGTTCTGTCATTCATAATTCGATACTTTTCTTTAATTTTTCAATCATTACCATTTGATTCAAATGCTCTAACAAGAGCAACAGCACCATCGAAGCTTACAGCTAATACCAACAAGTGAGCAATATTTTCCAAAAGGCGACAAGCAACTTCTGCAAATGCTGGCGTTGGCTTGGTAATACCGTATAGTACGCAAGGAGTAGCCTAAAGATATTCACATATGTCAAATGTTTAAACGGACTCGCGAAGTTAGGACGTAAAAAGTTCGTAATTTAATGTTTTACTGTGAGAATTAATATGCAACGAATCTTAAGCAACCTTTACCTACCTAACTATGATCTCAAACTAACTATCGATGAATAAGTAATTCATTCAAACTTTTGCAACATGAAAACTCACTCTGGCTGGTATGGAAGCCAAATATTCACTTATAACTTTCAATCGGTTCATTTGGACAACTAGCGTTTGTCCCATATCCAATGCATATACACGAATTTTTTTGTCATCTAATTCTTCTAAAACCCGACATCGAAGTGGTACCTCGTTTGGCATCATTGGTGTTGCAACTAGCAGTTCATTCTTCTGTAAAATATATTGCACTCTATAATATATCTTGGAGAATTTGATTTTTTAAAAATCTCTAAAATTCACTTCATATTCGATTAACAATTTTCATGAGACCCAAAATAATGATAAAGCCACACCTTGCCAAAGATAAAACGTATTCGAAAAAATCCACAACATTGAATTTGCACATTAGTCTATCAAAGAACGTGGGAAAAAAGAATTTTTTTATTTAATTATTTAGCTTAGCAGCGCCTCGCTGTGCCACATGAATTTAAGCTTCGTAAAAACTAATTAGGGAATATGCCACTACATACACAATTATTAAAGCAATTTTCAAATCCAAAATGAAAAATTCTTTACCACAACATGTGTCACTTCAGCTGCACGCTCAAAATGAGCTATAAGATGAGCGTCTAAATCTTCATTGCTAATTATTAAATTTTCTGCTTCACATACATGAGTTTTAGGGAGCACGTAAAATGTCATTGGCCAGCACAGAAATTCCGCAATTGGTTTAACAAGTTCAACCTGAAAATCAGTAGCTTTCGTCAACCTTCAAAACATTGTCACTTTTCCAATTCAAATTAAAAATGTATATTTTTTTAAACAGTCCCAAAATACACCTCATTATCAGATTAACATCTCCCATCCTTCCCCCAAATTTGTACTAGAGAATTTATAACGCGAAATGTTACTGAATTTTAATTTTCTCAACATCTGGAGAAAAAAGAAAAAAAACCTCTATTGGTTCTCCCCCCGGTAGATACATATGACGATGAAAGCGTTCATTGTAGATAATCGGTTTACGAATATTTCCTCCTGTCAAAACCAATTCCGGTCTGTCGGTAATGGAAAAATAACTGAAACAAAATTCGGTGCAAACGATATTTTCGTCTTCAGCGATCTCCAGTGATTTAAGCTCTTTTCTCTATTCTCTATTTTTCAAAAAAGCTTCACTGACTAAACCTAAACTGAAATTTAGAAACGATTATCCAAACCATTAATGTTATTTCGCACTATATCTTGATATGACATTAGCAACAAACCTTTTCATTCTTTCCGTTTCTTTATCAACAGCCGATGATAACTCTGTTTTCAAACTTGCATTTCCTTTATGTCTTACAAATTGAATCTAAAAGAATCAATCAGCTTTATAAATAATACTTCGTAAAATGAATCAATCAGCTTATAAATAATACTTCGCAAAATATTAATTTTAAAATTCCCTTCTTTCTTCCACCTCTCCTTTTCTTTTCTACTAAATCAAACATGCCTTAAGTGGTTTCGATAGCTCGGGTAACTGAATTTTGCCATTATCATGAGCTGTTGCAGTAATAACCGAATTGGCATCAGCAATCGACATCATATGAACAAACCTTAAACTAATTAAATAACCACAACGTTCCCTAATCAAGCAATAATTGTACTGTAATGAAATTGTCATCGACGAACAAGCTATCCACTGTCATTTAAGAACACATCTAATATTCAAATTTAAAGTAGAATAACATACGCGGATGTTAATGAATCATCGTTTTTTTTCACAATTTTAATATTGTCAATCCGTCCGAATCGTCGAAATATATGAAGAAGCTTCCACTGGAAAAAAAATTTTTGCTTACATGTCATTTATGAGCAATGGAGAAGTACGAAGGATAAAAGATCAAAAGAAACTAGAAAATATTTAAAAAAAAAAGACACTAACATACCTTGTCCCATGTTTCTGGTACATTTTGAACATAAAGCGTTCGCTCTTCTGATGTACCCATATATGGTAAATGTAAATCTGCTGATTTCAATTTTGTATAATTACCTGCGGCCGTCATATGTTTTTCTCTATGAAATTACACAATACAAATTTCAAAAATTTCAAAGATGTAAAAAGAAGAAAAAAACGATGAGAACATATGAATTCATTCAGTGAATAATCAAAACTATGCATAAGCTGCTAGTTGACACTAAAATATCCACAGACATCATCAGATATTGAATTATTACTGATATTTTCAACAATACCTAAATGAATTTCAACAATATTCGGAACTTATCAAAAAATACACAATTTTTATCATTTTCTCCATGATACAATGATAGAAAGGCAATTAACATCCTATCACTAAGCAAATCACATGATAAAGGATACAAGCAGAATTAGGAATTTTTTTATCGACTAAAGAAACGATAAATCTTTGTTGCTATTATTAACCGATCTTATTGAAACAACAATTCGCTTCAATCAATCATAATAACAACTAAGAGATAAATGATCATTACACACTGTTCGAATTTTTAGAGAGTTAATAGTAATTTCCTAGTTTCCCATCAACACTTCACTTTTCCACATTTTCCTACGCAGTTAATAAAGAATTACTCAAGAAATTGAAAAAAATGTACATATAATGGTGGTGAAAATAAACATTCGAAGAGAAAAGCACAGTTTAAATTTCTGATGTCAATAATACCAGTATTGTTAATGTAATTAAATTCAACATTGTACACAATTATCAGCCTATTTTCTATGGACTTCACGATATATCAGAGTAGCAAAGAAACAAAACATTCCGTTTAATTTAGGATTAAATTCGAGAAATTTTCTCATCAAAGTTATTTGCTATCAGTGATTTTGGCGTTTAGTTACGAGACATATAAACAAAAATATACAGCTAAACAAAAACGAAATTGGCAGGATGATATGAGAAGATAGGAGCAAGCAACCATTCTAGCAACAATCATATGTTACAATCAGCAAAAATGAATGACGAAAAATGCACACGAATTAATTCCAACCAAAGAATTTCAACGAGAATGAAAATCAACTATTCCTAAACTAATTTCGAATTATTCAAATTTTATTCCACTTAAAAAAAAATTTTAGAATAAAGAAAAATTGCAAATGTTACTAAATGGTAATAAAATATAATGCGAATATCATTTAGCTGTGTATAGCGTTACATTACATTATCGACCTCAGCAACACCACTACATGTTAAAATTTACTGAATAGCGCTACACCATGAATTTCTTGAAAGTTTTTGATTTTCATAGAAAAAACTTCATGAATTAAAAATTGCATTTCTTTTTTCAAAAACAAAAAAAGTCTTTAACTCGTGAAATTATATATTGCAAAGAAAAAACGATAAAAGAACAAAAACGGCAACTTTTTTCTTATAAAAAAAGTGTCCATAACAGAAAATGAAAACCGAAAATCATACTAGAACCGTTTGTCTTGTGACACATATATTTTTCTTGTTACTCATATTTATAAATCTACTATGAATCCCTGAATCAATCAAAGGAATGAGTCAAGAGCATATTTCTATGAAACGAATTTAATACTTGAAAACATTTGATTTTGTTGTGTAATATCATAATTATAATGAATCAAGTTTAAACTTCATTTGGAAAAGAATTCATAAAAATCATGTTCCACAACAATGACCTAATCAAGTTTATAATTCATGCTTTTTCCTTTGCCTCACCAACATAACAGCCTAAATCCATAGCTAAGCTTCTACTCAAGCAACGTTTTGTCTGTAGTCGAGCATAACCATCCTTGCATTTTTTATATTGAAATCGTGTAAATCCACGTGGTATTGAACATTTGTGCTTTCGGATTAAATGTCGGCTTAAGCCAAAACCATTTGCATATTTTGCGTCGCACAAATGGCACAAGTGAGTGTACGGTATATAAACCTGAAACTAACCGATCTGAAGTGGTAAATCAGAAAAGTTCAGAGAAGTAATGCAGTGCCATAATTTACAATTCACTCAAAGTAAGCTCTCATGTTAAGGAAGGAAAATATCACTTTAAAATAACCTAGACTAATACTGACGTGAAATTTGTTCAGCAAAAAATTATTTTTCGTATTTTAGAAGGACAAATCACTTGCGTTTCTTACTAATGCTACCTTTCACTCATACCTTATCTAGAACTTTTTAATTCTCGAAAAATTTCCTCAATTATATTTAATTATTCAACGATTTTAAGTATAAAATTATGTGATTACCTTATCATGCTTCCGGATATGTGCTGTCAACTGTTTTTTCCAACGAAACTGCTCACCGCAATGCCCACATTTATGCACAAGTTCGTTAGAGTGAACAACCATGTGACGGTCAACATCTGCTTTTTGAGAAAAACTGAATACAAGCTAATTAAATAAAAGTAAAATCAAAATTTAATAGACTAATATAATTTTGGAATAGTATAAGCACTTCTAAATTAATTCTACCAAAATCTCAATCTGTAAAATATGTCTACCCGCAATTGTATTTGTAAAACCTTACAATTCAAATAATTTTCCTATTCACTTAAATCAGGACTAGTTACAATTGGAACTGTAAAAAAACTTGTATTTGTACATTGTACAAAATGATTTCTGAAAAATAATACATATCGATTCCAACATTTTTTGGCGGCCCTGCTAAGAACATGCACAAACAATTAACTAGCAGTCGATATATTCAATAAAATTATGCAATATCTAGTTCTGTCCATCTCAGCAAAATCACAATTTCATTACCTGTGCCCACAATAACAACAAGTATAAAGTCGACATTTAGCATGGACTGCAGCAACATGCCTTTTCAAGGCAGATGGACTGTCGACGGTCACTGTACAGTATTTACACTTATGATTCATAACATGCCGACGGCAATGTTCGCGTAATAAACGTTGCGTACCGAATTGTTTTTGGCATAAATGACAAGAATAAATAGTTCGAAACTCTCCGCTTTCTAGCGCTTCCGGCCCTATAATGAATAAACAATATTATGTGCATAAAATCTTTTATAGTGAAAATTTTCAGCAAATAATGTATCTTTCAAAAAGTTTATGGAATTAAAAGCCTCTCTCGATAGCATAAAAACAACGCAATAAAATGAAAATTTCTTTAAATTAAAACGAAAACGAAAGCGTTCCTGATAAATTGCGTCTATCTTCATTACATTTCACAAGTCATATATGAAGACTTTATTCAATATCATTCTCTATAACTCTCTATGAGACGTAAGTAAACGATTGAGTGAAATTATACGGTATGAATATCGTATCTTCCTTCCTCATTAAAAAAATTATTTACCAATTTGATTTTTTCGAAGCATGTGGTCAATCAATTTTGAGTTATTGGCAAAGAAAACGCCACAGTACGGACAAGCTGCAGTTTTGTCACCAGAATGATGCCGACAGTGTACACGAAGATTGGCTTTATTCTTGAAATGCATTTTACAACCTAAGAAAACAAAATGTTGAAAATGTTAAAATTTGATGCAGTGCCTGCTTTTAACATTTGAAGCTCACGTGTGACATAAGCAAATCAAAAACATTTCGGAATGCTGGCTCAAAGGAGATACCTTTGAATGAACAAAATGCCGACTCGAAAAGTCTTCCGATTATCTATTCCAGCAGTAACAATGTGCAATTTTTAAGTTTTAATTTTGAAAAAATTCGTTACCTTGCCATCCACAGCTTAGTTGATATCGTTGGTCACGATCCGTGACACCAAGTGAATCAATATGTTCGTCAACATGATTACAATACAAATCAATATCATCCCAAAGAGTCTTAAAAATTTAAAAAGAAAACTAAAAAATTATAACAAATCTTGTGAAAATAGTTGGTCAAAAGAAAGTTGATAAGAATAATACTTACACTGCAATTAGCCCATCCACATGCCATTGCCGAACCGTCATATATAAGTTCCATAGACGTACGAAAACCACAACTGAAATTATTATTACCAATACTTTGTCGAATTAAATTAATCCTATCTGATTTGCATCAGTTTAACTTTTCTTTTATTATTGCCTTAATGAATACATTATGGATTAGAAATAATGTTTCACAAAAAGTATTGAGATGAAGCCTATAACCACATTACTTTTACAAAATTGCAGATTGTAGCGTAAAAGTAGGAAAAAATATAAACAGAAATTATTCCGCTACTAATTCTTCTCTCATGTTGCTATAATGTAGATAACAAGCGGAAGTCAGTATTAGGTTTCAAAACTTCTAATTCAATGTACTCAACTGCTTGATGATTCACCGGTTTATAAGCACTAGCATCTGTGAGATTTCTCTCGACCCTCAGCATACTAAACTCATACTAAAAAAATTAAAAACGTAAGTAAGTACTAGAATAAGCCTTTTTTCTACTTCTTCCTTCCTATGCATCACGCTCATTTTGGCTCAATTAACGACTAAAAATAAATAATACCTTTTACATACACAAATTACTAATATCTCAAGCATACACAGCATGATTTTCTTTAAAAAAACATACTGTGGAATATTTGCGACATAATCTCGACTGAAAATAATGTTTAAACCAAGCCACTGCCGTCGAATATGATAATTGTGCATATAGAGGTGACGATACAAATGATGTTCTGTAGCAAGTACTTTACTGCATCCACTGATTGGGCATACAATAATACTATCTTCATTCTGATCTTGAACTACAAAAGAAACAAATAATGTATTAGAGACATAATATCAACATATATCATTTTCACGTCAAAATTCCAAATATTATTTGAAAACAAAAGAGAGAACGAAATAAGACTATTTCAAACCTGATAGCTGTTCTATATGGGATCGAATATGTTGCAAAAGATCATTCGAAGTATCGTATACCATAAAACAATTTGACCATAAACATTTGAAATAAAACTGAAACAAATAATTGATCAATTGAAAAATGTAATGTTTGGCTAATGAAACAAATTTCGTATTTCGAAATAGAAAAAGGGAAAAAATTGCTAGTATGCAAAATGTGGTTTTTTTAAATCTGAAATCTAAAATTTGTATAAACATAAGCATAGGACTGAACAAATATTCATCTTCAATTTGAAATAATAACTTCATAACATCAACTATCCTTTTCAGGATATTTTTATATCATTTTTCAAAGTAATTGAACTGCAAAGCTTTCTGTTTACTTTTATGCCATCGTCGTTGATTTTATTTTCAATTACTTCTTTTATTGTTTTAGTATCCTCAACTAGTTTCTCATAATTTTACCACTCTTCCTAGGCCTCAATCCAAAGCCCTGAATCCTTACAAATTTCAAACGTTTTCTGAAATTTAAAGCATACCCTCATATCCCTAATATAAATAAATCAAATGAATACTTCTTTATCTTGAAGTCGAGTAATCCATGCCATTTGCTCACCCGAACCAGTTGCTACAGGTCCATCTGCTGGTTGAAGAATAATCGGTTCGAACTGTTCCATTATACAGTTATATCTTGCGGGACTACAAATACACCCTACAAAAATACATTAATGAAGAAAAATTAATTCGAAGGAAACAACAAAACAATGAAATTAATCAACGTTAATTTTTCTAATTAGTATTTACACAAGTCAAATATCTAGTAAAATTTAACGTAGGGTTTATTCCTATATTGATATCCTTATTTAGCCCAACATTAGTATCTTCATGCTAAATAAGATTCAAAAGCTACCATTGAGTAGAGCTTAAAATCTTTACGTGTTTTAAGCACTTACTCTTGATTCTACGCCTACATCTACACACTACGTCTCCTTTCATGTTCTTCATCCCTAATCACATATTTACGCCAAACATTTCTTGACATCTGTCACTTAGTTTTGAAGATTAACAAGTATTAATTAACATCAACTTTGAAATAATTTTTATAAGAAATAATTTTTATAATAATTTTTTTCATTATTTCGTCACTAAATTTTTTCCTTTCATTTTATATTTCACTATTGCTATAAGGATCAATACCGATATATTCTTAACCTTGAATAAATACACAGTCGAAATGTGAAATATTCGCTGGTACATTTTTACTCCATTTTAAATAATATAACTCGCAATATTTCTGAAGAAGAACAAACAATCAAAAACCTACAGAAAATAATCCATAAACTTTACGTTAATACTAACAATTTAATTAGTTTATCAATAATATCAGGAAAATTAAGACAACAATTTCAAGAAATAATTAGAAATCATTGTAGGTGGAAATAAATACAAAAAAAAGATTAAGACATAAAAAAAGAAATTAAAAAGTTGGGAATGGATTTAACGATTGATAAAATAAATTTATGAAATAACCTACTGATAAGAAGAGAACAAGATATTAATAATCATTCAAATTAAACACATACCAAAATATTTCAAATATTCGAATGACAGAAGAAAATACTTCAAATATTAGAATGATAAAAGAATGATAAGACAAGCGAAAGTGTTTGTGATAGGAAATGAAGAAAATAGAAAAGACCTTTTAATAGGCAATGATTGAGAAACATGAAAAAAAAAGAATTGAAAAAAGTAGTGAACAGAGAGTGAGAGCGTTACAAATTCACTATTATAAAAACAAAAATGAAAAGAAAAATGCTGACGAGACTTTCTCATTCGCGCTAACATTCCAATTTTTCAAAGTTTATACTGCAAGAGGTCGTAGTTCAGGTTGCGACTATTGTGCGGATCGTCGTGTGGTGTTTTTGATTTCGGATATCATTGGTTCTGAAGTTTTCAGGCTACACCTATCTGTTCCCTATTAGAATTTTTAGATTATATTGGTATTTGTCATCCTTTCTGGTTTGTTTTTTGTTTCAGATTTTCGTTAAATTTTAGATTGTGATCTAAATAATTCTTCAACTATATTATATATTTTTTTGCCTTCTAACCACATTTAAATCTATTTTTTCGATAATATGTATATGCATTATTTATTAATTTGTTAAGGTTACATATCCATTACTTATTACTGATTTGTTTTACCCAGCTGGTTTTATTTGTTCAGTTCTTTTTTTAAATTATATTCCTTATTAGTTCTCAGTAATTATTTATTAAATTTTCATTGGTTACATTGAACTAACTATTAATTACTTTTTAGTGTTATTTATCAACTTTGGTTGATTCGTTAATTATTTACTTAGCTTATTAAAGCCTTTATTTTTTGTACGCTACGCTATTTACAGGTAAACCTAAGATGTCGATTGGTGGCATTGGAGTTTATGATCAACAACCGCAAGTTTCACAGGATACGTTCGTAGTAGTTGGTGAACCGGATGTAATCAGAAGTGAAGAAATTACTACGAATGGTGTAACGAATGATGTTACATATGATACCGGAAAAGATTGTTATCGGGTTAGAGAGTTACGACTATTAACCGTAAGTGACACAGTTTTAGTGGTTCGTCCCGAAGTGTAGATTTTGCATTCAATCAAATGTATTCGTTAAGAGGAATTTGCGATTAATTATCACAAGTGCCTCAAAAACTTTAAAATTGCCAAGTTTCTTCTGGGAAATTTTAAAATTGTGTTTGATTTGATGTGCATATATTCAAATATATTCAATATATATTCATATATATTCAAAAAAAATTCAATAGGTACATTCTAAATCGAATTTATTCGATGAACTTTGAAAATTTTAAATCTAGACCAAAAAGATTTTCAGTACTTTGCAAACTCTTACTAGATAGGGATCAGTTTTATTTCTCACTGTTTTGTTTAATCGATCGTAAATTCGTTTCTAATTGCTTTCTCTTTAGTTTTCTTTATGCTGGATAATCATAGTGATGGAAATGATAATGATTTATAAATAATTCAGTTACTTTTAAAATAAACTATTTATAAAAGCAAATTATATGGTTGTAGCAGATTGATCATTTCCTAAATGACTCAAAGGAACATTTAATGAAAAATGTTAAAAAATATTAAAAAAAATTTATTATGAGGTATATATTTGCTTTATAAAAAGACCTTTTTTTTAATGATAGGTGTCCTTCTTTCCTGACCAATATCATCAGAAAAAATTGAGAATATGACGAAAGTGTTCTCTTGTGCATTCTCTTGTAGTTATAGTGAGTATATAAGAATGTAAGTATTACTGGTTGCTACTTCAGGAATCTGGTAATGACAGTGTTACATCCGAAGAAACAGCTGTATTAGAAATAGGTAAACGTCGATCGGTATATTTAACGAGTACGGCAGCGGAACGATATGGTCAGGAAGCTGGTTGTAGTGTAGCAAAAATTACCCGAAATGATGATTGTTTAGAATGTTCCGAACGTTTGCTGCCGCAAAGTGATAGCATGTATCATGATGCAGGTATGTTACGCTATGAATGAAAGAAAAAATAATAAAAGGTATGGGGAGTTCTAGTTGTTTTAATTTAAACATGTAATCATTTCGCTGATTAAATTGTTTTTATAGGTTCAGAATTAGTTGCCGCTGATAATAATGGTGAGCATCAGACGTTGCGTGATATTTCACGTTGTGCACCACGTGAAATTAGCTACGAAACATCGCAGTGTGATATGCAACCGCAGCACTGTAACATGCAGCAGCAACATTGCAACGTTCAAACACAACACTGTGATGTTCAATTGCCGCTTTCAAACAGACGAATAAGTTTTCGAAATTAATCGTCAAATTTTAATTTCATATGTGATTCTTCAAAACTTAACAACATGTGTTCACGTCTGATGTCAGTGTTTACAGGGAGTTATGTGCACCAATTTTGTTGCATTTTCAGGCTAGTCGTGAAGCGCATCCCAGAGAGAAAAATAATGTAAAGAATGAAATTGACTCTGACGAAAACGCATCTCACTTGCTGATCAGTTTGAGCAATGCATTAAACCCTGGTGAGGCTGAATATATTGATCGTTATCGTCCAAAGGGCCGTCCTAGAGGTAAATCTTCGTTGCAATTCGAAAATGTAGTTGGATTTTACTTATTGTTTATTACTCTAACTTTCATTAGCAACATTACTTTTATATGGATTTACGCAAAACTGCATAGTTTTATATTGCATTATTAATTTGTTGTTATTGCATTTCATTTTCCATTTGCTTTAAAAATTTTAATATTTACTTTAGAAATTTAATGATCAATAGTTTTGTACTATCATTTGTGGGTTTTCATGTGACAAATGAAGACATAGCACTTTTTTTTAGTCCCTGATTTGGACTGCACATTTTCCGAATTTCTAAGAACCCCTTTTACATCTTGAATGATCATCATGTTTTCAAGGTTGTTTTTTGCAGGTCCCAAACATCCCGTTTGGAATTTTTTCAAATTTTACAAATCTGGTGGACTTACTTTGGGATATATGTGTTTAATGTGTGGTAATGGATTTACTGGTCCTCCAAATACCACAAATGCTACAAAACATCTTCGTTGTAAGCATAAACATGAATATTTGCTGTATTTTGATTTACTGGAAGGTGCAAAGCAGGGAACATTCTTCGGTGATGTGCACCAGTCAATCAGAGAGGTTGCTTTCCAAATTTCTTGGTTGCGTTGATTTGTTTTTGTTTTACCAGAGATTGAAAAGGAATAGGTTAAAGAAAGAGATGGGTTTATTTTCAGACAATATTTTGCAGAGAGCTTGTAGCAACAAAATTTTAATTTATGTATAATGCATTATCGCTCACAATCTTGTATTGGGTAATTGTCATCCGATTAGAGTTACTATTCGATATGCTAGTAATATGGTTACCTTTATTGCAAACTCTAACACTTTTCCATTTTATTGTAGCAGTAATTATGTTATGTTACTTGTCATTGATACTGATGTATTTCAGCTTGTTTCAAAAAGAGGTGTCAAAGCAGAAGCATGCACTTCGGTAGGTAATACTGCTGAAGGTTCTATTCCGAACTACGAAATCATGAATGAAGGTTAGTCTTCAAAAGCAACTATTTGTTTGTTGTTTCTTAATTAATATGTAAAATAAATTAGATTATGCAAGGAAAATAATGATGGTGTTATGTTGCTAGAGATACGTGAATAAATCACTAACGATTTTTCGGCACATCAATAGTTGCCTGATCTACTTTCCCTTTTCTCTAGAAAAATTTATAAAAGTAATCATTACATAAACTCATAAAGTTTTGATCTTAATTGTGCTATATTGTTTAATCATCATGAAGTATACCGCATCTTTTCTTTACTAGCTGTACACCGGAATCATGATTGGACGGACGATACCGCGGGTAGCTCGCAAGATGCTAAACTTCATTCGTTTCTTTGTTCTGCACTAATATCGAATACTGTAAGTTATCTATTACCTGACTTAGCTTAGTTACTAGTAATATCTGAAATCGTTTATTTATGGTGGCGTGTTATGACGAAGTTCAAATCTTAGAGACATAAAGCGTCTGAATAACATTGAATATGCGACAGTATTCATTACAGTACATGAGAAACAAGATTAGGAAAGTAGTAAATAACGAAATGCCAATTTACCCGTTTGGTGACGCGAGAAAATGAAGCTTCATCTTGTGTCATTTTCAAAGCAGTGATGACAACAATGAAGATGGGATAAAGTTAAAATGCGGATTAAAATTTAGAAGCTGAAATTCTTCGCTATCTTCAAGTTTAAATCAGTGTTTTAATTTAAGTCTTAACACTGTTATAGAAGCCATCCTAAATCTTTATCCGTATTTATTTCAGTCTAAAAATTCGCTTGTTCGATATGATGTAAGCAATTCTGGTGAGAATTCTGAAGTTTCATCATCTGGAGAAGTTATCTTTACTGGTTCATCCGTTGGGTAAGGCACTAAGTATCTTCTTATGCTGTTTCCCCTGAGATTATAAGAGTGGAACATTATCCTAAGAGTTGTAGATGTTGAGCATCGTAATTTAGAAGGGAATATTTCGCAGTAGGATTATTTTTTAATTTATGCTTTTGATACTGGGGTGAATTTAATATTGTACTTTAGAGATTTTAATCTTTTGGAATTTAGAGTGGACTGAAGAGAGAACCAAATGTTTCTATTATTTAATTATTGTGTTACTTAGAAATAAGTGAGATATCCATATATTGAATTAAGAGTGACACTGATTATTCATGTTTTACTCATATTATTTTTACAAGTCTTCTGCTCTTATCGGCAAATTTATCCATGCCTTCTGCTTGTAGAGATGCGGAAGCGGGTTCATCAGCTGTAAGCAGTGATTCTACGGGACAGTTTGCTGGGCAAGTTGAATCGTTCCTTCGTGATTATCGTCGTCTGGAAACCGAAGTTTGTCTTAAAGCTATGCTTTCAAGTTTACCTTAAATCTTTCAAGGAAGTTATGTAGTTTTCCGCTGTTAGATAAGAATATTTTAATTGGTCATCCATAAGCCATTTGACAGCTGCATTAAGAGCTGTACTGGGTACAGATAAAGAATAAACTCAATCTTTGAGTGCAGTTTCTCTGACACGACTCATTCTTTGAAGAAATTCCAGAAAGCAAGAGATAAGATTTTATGCATGTCTAGTCTAACAAACCTATGAGGTTTGTTAAACTAGGCATGCATAAAATGTTTAAAAGCGGTTGCATTGTTTGTTTCTTATATCCTTATTATTTTTTTGCTCGAATTTAGTAGTATACTTTCTGCTTGCTTTGGCATTGTTACTAATATCTGCGTTATCATATGCAACTCATATTACCGTTTATATGCAATTCATTGGATAATAAATTCCCTGGTGAGCAACTGATTGTAATATTATTTCTCGTCCATTCCAGTCATTCTGTTTTTAAAATTCAACCATTATTTCAGTGTCGAAGATTACGTGCCGAAGTAGCTGCCAAAGATGAACATATCAAAACGCTTCGTTTAAATTTGATGGACGAACGAAATAAGCGAAAAAGCGCACTGATACTTGTACAGCGTGCGTTGATCGATGAGTGAATGATTGGACAATTGTTGTCATTATTTTTTCTTTTTCTTATTAGATAAAATACTCTTTAGCAATTAGTTATTTTTAGTTTTTTGATATAATTTAATAATTTTATAAAGTTTTCAGTTTTTTAATGTCTCATCGTGAGTCCAAATAGTAAGATTCAAAGTCCAGCATTGATACAAATAATTGTAACTTTTGCAGTCTTTTATAATCTCACTTCTAGCAGTTCTGATGATGTATGATAGATTTAAATGATAGAATTTCCCTGAATAACATTTTCCCCATTAATATTATATTTCATCACGATGATACAATTATTTTGTTAATTCGTCTAATTCATTTGTGATGTGGATTTCAGTTAATTTATTGCATTAAAACCGTATTAAAATATTTTCGTTGTGTTTTGGCTATTGTTTCTCAAAATAATATTTTTTGATTAAACTTATCTGATCTATGAATATTTGATTTATGCGTAGCGAGAAAACGACCACCAATAGTAGTTATTCATTTATCATTTTGAATACGTTTTTGGAAGATTATTTTATTATTTGAATATATCGTAGCCAATATCATATTGTTTAATACAATTTATTACTTGTTTCCGGTCCGATAAGACTCATTTGTTGTATCACAGCCAATATTATTACTATTTTTTGCAATCTGATAAGGCTCATATATTGAGTCTGGCTTACGAAATATTGAACAACATTTTGGTGCTTATTTTCTAAATATTAAAAAAGGAAGAAGCTAGATTAGTATATAAAGTAAACACACAGCTTGAGAAGCAGCAGGAACGAAAGAAAGAAAGGAAGCGATGGTTACCATGTGTCATTTGTACGGTCCACCAGATGTTACACGGTATGGGTAAAATTTACAGTCGCAGTTGTCGTATGCTATGATCAAAGTAAAACAGGAATTCCTACATTGTTTTTGTTTTCTCCCTTACTTCGTTTTTTCTTATGTATTCAATTTTTTTTGAAAGATGTTGATCAAAATTCTTTCTTAAATTTTAATTCATTTCTTTGGCTTCTTTTGTTTTAATTAATAACCAAAAATTTATTTAAAGCACATATAACTTTGATTTGGTCAATAGTAATATTCCAAAGCAATTTTATGACTAATGAATAATTTCCGATCGGTGTTATTGAAATTATATGGATAATATAGTGGGATGAGCGGATGGATGGATTATCTCAATCATGGAAAACTTATCGACTTCAAACCACAGCTATTATTCAAGAAAAGCTGAATTAGGGCAAAATAAAATTGATAGTAAATTTTGGTGATTTCAATTTTTGAATTAAATTTTGTTAATTTTATTCTTATCATTTCTTTTCAATGGTTTCTTTGACTGTTAAAATCATTTACAGTACACACTTTTTCCCGCAACATAATTTGTAACTTGGCATGTTAATGATATAATGATTGATTTTAAATTTTAAATAAAATTTATTTTTTCTGTAAATCTTCATATTATGTATAATAATTAAAACAAGCATTGTTTTTTAATTATGAATTTTAACATATTTAAAATTATAAAATGGAACAGAAAGTATTAAATCGAAAAAGAAGTTAATTTTTCAATTTTTACCTTTTCCTGTGTTACCTATCTTTGTTGCCAAATATATTAATTCATTAATTATATAAAATTTCTTTATATCATGAATAATTTGATTATATCGACAAACAAATTTTATTATTGGAGTGTTAATTTAAATTATAATTATTAGCAAAATGAAATTTTTCATTTCTTTCACTTATTGTTAATATAAAATTGCAGCAAGAAAAAAATGGTAATTAACATTAATTAATTGAAACAAGTAAAAGGTGAATATAAAATCAAATAATTATTATTATCAATGAAAAGAAAAAAAAGAAAAGGTATTTGTTTATCAATGAAAAAAGGAAAAAAAGGTAAAAATAAAAGAGAACGAAAAAATTTGAAATCAATTAATCAGGAGAAGAGAGAAGAAGGGTGGGGGGTTAAAATTAAAGGGTTACAAAGATTAAAATTTAAAAATGGCCAACTTGTCCATGTCTTATCAGCACGTAAAAAAATAACTGATATCATATTGCATATTATAGCGACACTCTTTCGAGAGCTAAGAAAGTGATAATGGNTTACGTTATAATTGTGACATAACGTATTCCAATACTCAGTCATACAAGATGATGGATTCTTCATGGTAACGTTGAGATAGGTATGCATCAGGTAAATAGGGGGGGAAGGAAACTGTTATCGTAAATATCGGAAATATTGTAAGAAATTACCGATCATACCAACCGCCATTATCATCATCATCACATCATTGACATTCTTCTCACGAGTCTTTACTTCTTAACGTCTATAATTATAGTAGACAGATAAGAATAGTAGTAGTAAATACGGTATTTAGTATTACAAAACTATACCATATTATCGGGTTCATCTTTCCTTTTTCCTTTTAAGAGATAACGATAAGTTAGAATAGAAATTTAAATATTTATTGATATCTTATCATTCATGAAATATTTACTGATATATTATGAAAAAATATATCAAATTAAATAAATAGAGATTTTTTCAATTTTTTTAAATATAAATTTAAATATTTTAAAATGAAATATTAGAAGTTTTAAATGATTATTTACGATACAGATGTATGTGTGTGTGTGTGTGTGTGTGTATATATATAATGCTTAGATATTATTACGTACTATTGTTTTAGCTAAAAATTTATCATTGATTAATTTGAAATTTAAAACAAAAAGAAAAAAACGAATCAATCAATAATTTTTTTGTCATTTTGTTTTAATATAGAAATTTTTTATAATTTATTAATTAGAATAAATTTTAGCTATACTTTTTCTTCTATTGTTTTTTAACAAATTGTTACTAATTTTTAAATGAATTTAATTCAGAATAATCAAATCTATTCATTACCTTCCACTGACAACAAATAATTATTTTAATCAAGAAAAAAGATATTGAAATGATATTATCACATTATCTTATTTGTTTATTTTGTTAAATGCACATTTTAATATTTTATTGATAATTTTTATATTTAAATGATAAAATTAGATTAATGCTAAATAAAAAAATCCAAAAACGAAAATTAAAGATAATAAATATCGACAACTGAAAAATTTATCATTTAATTCGAACAGAATTTTAGTTTAATTAATTTTGGTTTAATTTGAATATATAATTTTATATTATTCAAATTTGAATTAACCAGAAATAATGTAATATTTAAATTTAATTAAATTCAATTACAACTAACTAGGAATTCGAATATAATTTTATATTATTCATATTATAATTATTGTAATATAATATTTAAATTTAACTAAATTCAATTCGAATTAGCCAGAAATAATGCAATATTTAAATTTAACTAAACTCAATTAGAATCAACCAAAAATAATATAATGTTTAAATTTAATTAAATTCAGTTACAATTAATAAGGAATAATATTAACTTCTCATTTATTTCCATTTACTTTTGCATTTTCCTTTGTCTTTCTTAATTTGCCGATGCAAAATATATGTAAATGAATAAAATGGAAGATAAAGAAATGATGGAGCAGGTTACATGCAATTTCAAGGAGGAAACATTAAAACTTAACATTTAATTTATGGAAATTCATCTGATGAATTTAGATTGTTTTGTGTTGTGAATTTCGATTTGTTAAAATAGGATAGCATGAAATT